AAATGATCTTGTGGGGCTCCCGTTCCGATCTGGAGCTGCTAAACATGGGGAGAATGGGAGATTTGCCGAGGTTGGCAGGTGTGGAGAGCTCCCTAGGGGAAAGTCAGGGGGTATCAACCCTGCTCAAGTGGGTAGAGGCTGGTAGGACCAAGTCTGCTCTTCACACACACACACACACACACACCCCCCTCTTCAATTCCGGCTCTCCAGGCTGCCGATATGAGAGGCCAATTAAGACAAGGACTCAGCAGGAGACCAGCATCGCTCTGGGCCTCTGAAAGAAAGCGCCGGTTTGATTTTCTTTTTCTTTTTTCCCCCGAAGGTTAACCGAGAAAGGGCTCTGTACCGCCAAGAATAAAAAAAAATAATTAATAAATCTGTAGGTTTTCTGCCGGCCTTCCTTCTCCCGCCCCCAAACAGTGAAGATTACAAGATTGACTGGACCGTAATCCTGCCAAATGTGTTGTTGGGGGGGGGGGACGAAATAAATTATAGCTGGAATAAAAAGATTCTCAGGTTTGGAGATTTTTAGAATAACAAGACGGTTTTGTTCTAAACCCCTAGTGTGATACGCGCACTGTAGAGTCCAGAAGAGATGGCATTTTAAAAGTGTCCTGGTACACAGACAGCAGTCTATTTGTAGTGTCTTTAATATTCACGCTTAATCCTAAAGGTGCTTTTTTCTTCTCCACTTAGACCAGTCTGATTACCAGTTTCACTCAAAAATCATTTGCCATTGTAATAAAGCTTTAGACTAGAAACTGATCGAGTGGCTTTAAAGCCTTTGATTGTGTTTGCCAAGAATATTTACAGACAATAGTATTGGCACCCTGTGTCTACACATTTATCTCCTCACTTGAAAAATCTAAATTGCTGCTTGTTCGGGCAAATAGGAATGATAAATGTATGAGAGGCATCGTTGACAATTGAGCATAATTTAATGACGTACTGAACAGCTTCGTGTTAAAAAAGGTTTGATTATGGAATTATCTGATTTGCTTCCATGAATGTGTGTCATGCTATGGCTGTGAGATTGGTCACAGTTGTTAAGAGGGTGGGGCTGTTTCAGCAAGGAGAAATCTGTCCTTGCTGAAAGACTGTTTGTTTTGCTGGACGCAGGTGCTTGCATCTCATTAATTACCTCTCTAATAATCCTTATTGATATTCCTCGCAGGGTGTATGTGTGTTTGTATCAAATGAATATTTTGACCTTGTGCTGGGGATTAGCTCTTTCCTGGCTGGAGCGGTGTACCAGAAAAGTTGGCTAAGTGACCAAAAAAAAAAAAACAGAACGCAACCTAAATTCTGCCAGTTTGCGCAAACAGGAGCTAATGAATGCTAGCGTGGAATACCACCTAACAATATAACGTTTCTGACTTCTTACCAAAATCGTTTGGGAAAAGTCATGAAACGTCAAAAACAACACAGGAGGCACTTCTTTACATGGAGAGTGGCGGGGGTGTGGAGCAAGCTACAGATCAGTGCCGTGGAAGCTGATACCCTGGTTTCTTTCAAGAAACAACTGGATGAGATCCTCAGATCAACTACAGTAGCTCCTAACTACCAGGCAGACAAGAATGAGACCAACAGCCTCCTCTCTTTGTGTAACCTTTTTATTTACTGACCTTAACATTCATCAGGATCCGAGTTTCACTTTCCGAATTGTAAAGCATTTGAAATTAATCAATATACATTATGATATGCAGTACACAAGTGCTAAATGTATACTTGAATAGGTCACCCTACACAACTCCCTTTTTATTTTAATTGTGCGCAAGATGGATTGATGGAGAAACTCATCCCTCCTCCTTGGTTTTTTTTTTTCTTCCTTTCACAGTGGTTTTTAATCTAAATTCGTCCCATCCTTTGTAAAATGCAGCAAAACGATTCTGAAGTAAGGGCCGATGAGGGCACACCGCCCTCCCTGACTACACACATGCCCTTATTCGATGGCGTGTACCTGCTCAATAAATTCATTAGACGTCAGCCCTAGCCACGCTGTGAGGAAAGCTGGTAGAATTTTAAGCACCGTGCTATACATTGCAGGATGTCTCACCAACTCTTGCACAAAGAACTGTTTCTATGACAACCACCGAAGTCTGCATTCTTCCGGCTCTTAAATGAAAATATGTGAATGGCACGCTTTGTGGGTGTGGGAGGCCAGCTCCTCTCATTTCATTTCCCATTTGCACAGGCACATCATCAGCCCGAGAGCCTCTCTTCTTTTCCTCAGCGGGGCAAGGGCACCCCTCCAGATACGACGCGCACGGCGAAAATAATGGCGGACTCTCTATAAGAAATATAGTTCCTTAACGTCTCCACCCCCCCCCCCGCCCTTGTTTAATGAGACTCTCGGTGAGCCAAAACCGGGTGGTTTCTCCCGAGGGAAGGAGCAGAAACGGGAACCTCAGCACATATCAGGAAGCATCCCTCAGGCTGACAGGCGAGCCGTTCGAGAAGATAAACAGGTTAGGGGGGCCTGATTGGATTAGCTCAACAGTTCGATAAAGCGCACATTACGCACAATTATGACCTCCTTTGTCAAGCAGGAGGCCGAGGGGACTCTGGCACGGCGTCTCTGGGGTGGAGGAAGGGCTGGACTTGTTGACTGTCCCCGTCTTCATGCCTGCCTGGACGTGAAGGAGCCTCAGAGACCCAGGCCGTGCTGGTTGCTTGTCATTCTTTCTCCTCGTGCAGTTTCTCCCCTTCCAGTCAGTGCGTGCCTTCATGCGCAGCGAGTGGAATCTCTTTTCCATGGACCTGAAGTGAACGGGAATCACTTGGGCTCCATCACTGTGCCCTGTGTTTGACTGCCGGTTTTTTGGCTCTCCTGGTACCGAGGTTATCCCCAGAGCTGTCCAGTGAGACTCATTCGGAGAGTACTTCAGGAAAAGTTCAAACCAGCGGCCCTAACTGCCTGCGTTTTCTCTGCCTTCTGTCCTTGTGCCCAGGAAGAAACAGCAGCTACCCCAGTCAACCCAGGACAGAGTCCAGGCATGTCAGCAATAGGCTGTGACTGCAAACATTCTGTCTGTGCTGCAGAGCTGGGTAAGGGGTCATGAGGGAGCAGGTTGTGCACAGCCATGGACAGACTCCTGCCTTTCACCTAAAGTTCTCTACACCCTCCCAGCGGTCCCCGGGCTGCTGCAGACGTGCAATAAAACCGCTTAGAAGGGGCTGCTTTTTCGCAAATGCCACTTTTTAATGGGCAAAACCTCAGTATAGGGGTGTTACCCCGGTGTCCTGGCCAAATTCCCCCCCCTGGCCTTTACCCATCACGGCCTCCTAATACTCCCTTTGTGGGGTGGCCAGAAACAGTAATAATCACGTCTGGCAAAATGAGGCGCGGTATCGCCATTTCTCTCAGGTCTGCCCTGGTTGGTTCTGCCAGTCGCTTTGACTCAAGACCCCAGTTCAATAAACGAACGAAACGACAAATAATCCCTTCTGAGCTTTTCCATCTTACATCTATTTGGAGCCTGTCAAGAGACTTCGAAAACTGTCTAGGTTACCCGCGGCCAGAGGGATTAAAGAGGCCTGTTTTGTTCATCAACTTCACTTATATAAGATGGGACTTGCAAACAAGTCAGAGATGGTCCTTAATTGAACAATAACTTCCATTTAAAAAAATAAAAGAGACAATTCGAATAGCCTATAACGCTTTCCACAATGCGAATTAGAAACCCCTGATCTCTACCTCGACTTGAGAGGAACACATGACAGATATCCGTTTGTCACCAAATTATGAACCGTTCAGACGTTGGAGCCTCGTTCTTCTGGGATTCGGCAGGGAAACCATTAGCTCTGCAGCTTGACCCCGCTGCGTTTTTTTTCACTTTTTGTTTCTTTTTTTTTTTGCTTCACGCCTGCCGCGTTGAACACGCAGCATCAAATTAAATCGGAAGGGAAAACGGCAGCAATTTCATATCCCCTCCGTCTCCCCTGGGGAGAGAAGTCAGAGGCAGCAACTTAATCAATTTCTCTTTGGGAGCGAGGGTGGGGGTGGGAACCGTCAAGAAATGACCCAGAGCTGGAGAAATTGATCGCGTTGTGCCTTTGCCTCAGCCTCTTCTACTGAGGTTCTGCCAAGAATGAGAAACAGCAAAGAAAAGCACAAGGCAGAACTAGCCTTTATCATATTTTAGACCTTATTAAAAATTCAGCAGTCTGTGCTGGAGCAACGGTCTTTTTACTTCTTATATTTAATAACAGTCACCTCAATGTTGTACGGCGCCGGACTCTCACTCGGGCTCCGCAATAAAACAAACCACGCAGTTATCCAAAGTTAACAGGACCTTGAACAAAAAAGCAAGTTTTTCAGCCTGGATGTAAAAGCGCTGGGGTTTGATTGTTGCGCTTTTTGTTCTGTGTGGTCTTACCTGTGGGTCGGCCGCAGACTGAATGATGTCAGATCAGAATTTCAGAATCTCAGCCAGCAGCCATGTCACCCTGCACCTCACAAATGACAACCCACTGAAGCTCAGCCTGGTCAGTACCTGGATGAGAGACCTCCTGGGAAAAACTAAGGTTGCTGCAGGAACAGGTGTTAGTCAGGAGAGCAGGGGGCGCTCACCCTGCAGTCTGTGTGGGTCCTAATGCCCCTGTATATTGACAGATGAGACTTAAAACCGAGATCCTGACTCTTTGTGGTTATTACAAATCCCAGGGCGTTTCTTGAAAAGAGTAGGGGTGTTACCCCGGTGTCCCGGCCAAATTTCCCCCTGGCCTTTACCAGTCATGGCCTCCAAATAATCCCCATCTCTGAACTGGCTCCATCACTCTGCTCTCCTCCCCACTGAGAGCTGGTGTGTGGGGAACAGACTGGCGCACTCTGGCTGCCATCGCAGATGGGGCTGCACACTGGTGGTGGTAGTGGGATTCCTCATTTTCCTCAAAAGCGCTTCGAGTCCCGTGTCCAGAAAAGTGCTATATAAGTGTAAGGAGTTATGATTATTCATTTCACCTGACGTGCCACGTCTGCTCCTCTTTTCTTTCCCCAGTTCTCAAAGGAGAAGTACCTTTTGGACTCGCCCCCGGAGAAGCTGAGACGGGAGCTGGAGGAGGAGTTGAAGCTGAGCAGCAGCGACCTGCGTAGTCACGGCTGGTACCACGGGCGCATCCCCAGAGAGGTGAGGCTCCTGACCGCAGCGCTGCGCACGTACTCCAGTGGCCGATTTCCCATGAGGCACCCTAAGCGCAGAGCCTAGGGGGCCTACGAACGTTTTAGGGCCCGCGAAGGAGGGAGACACTCGCGACTAACGAAAAACGAGCTGGAACAATATGCTTGCGATCGACTCCAGGGGCTCCAAATCAATAACCGTACGCTACCCAACGGCTGTTCTAGAAACTAGAAGTCTCGAAAGGGATGGTCGCTGGACTCGCTCCATCAGTCACGCGGTTTAGCATCAGAATAGTTGAAAGTGCATCTTGCCAATCGACGTCATTCAATTGGCGTTTACCCCTCTCTTTGCACATTTCGGAGCAAAAGTGCCCAGGACCTACGAACACCAAAATCCGGCCCCGACATAATCTGATCTGCGGTACCACGTTCGGCATTTGTCGAACAGCACCACCCCTGTTTGCCGTGATCCTGGGGGATATAAACTTTTTAGGAAGTACTAAGGAAAGAGAGGAAGCATCATTGTTAAGGGATATAGCGTTTTGTGTAGAACAATATGTGACTTTCAATGCAATGTTCAATTCACATGCAGGAGAAGGATACTTCAGGCAAAGCAGTTAATGAATTCAGCTAGCTAGGGGTGTTACCCCAATGGCTTGGCAAAATTACCCACTGGCCTTTACCAATCATGGTCTCCTAATAAACCCCCCATCTCTGAACTGGCTTCATCACTCTGCTCTCCTCCCCACTGAGAGCTGGTGTGTGGTGAGTGTACTGGTGCACTATGGCTGCCGTCACATCATCCAAGTGGGGCTGCACACTGGTGGTGGTAGTGGGATTACTCATTACCTGTAAAGCGCTTTGAGTGGAGTGTCCAGAAAAGCTCTATTTAAGTGTAAGGAATTATTAATTATTATTATTAACTCTTTGAAATGTCTCTACTGTTACGATCTAAACATGAGGCTAGAGTGAATAATTGTCTAACACCTCTATTGGTTCTGTGTGCAAGCAGTATACCGCTAATGTATTCCTTGCCTTTAACACAATACAGCTGAAAGTAGCACAAAAAAAGCAAGTGTACGTTCTGTGTTTTTACAAAATAATAAAGTGCAATGTGTCTCTATTGCACTACATTTCTTCATGACAAAAGATGCAATAGGGAACTCATTATAAACTGAGATAATTTAAGTGCTTACTTAATTTGGAATTGGCCCTTTGGACTGGAATAAAAGTGAGCTGAAAGGTCTATGAAACCTCTAATGTTCCCCTAGTGTACTTTTTGAATGATGGATGGTGTATTTTTAAAAAACCTCAATATGTAGAGAATGTTGATATTATGAGATTCCTTCAGCATTTTAACAACTGTAAACAGAAGAGGGGTCTTCCTAAATCCCTTTTTAACAACTGTTTGGAACTTTAAAAAAAGGTGAAATCTATGAGTTTCATTTTGACTCAGGCTTTGAAAGTCTTCAAAAACAGTTCTGTGTGTTTTGTTTAAGTGTCCAGATTCCTGTTGGCTTCAATAATCTTTTGCTGCCTTCAGCAACAGCCATATACGGTTTAAGTCACACTAACTTTTAAGTCTTCCTTTTTATAGTACAGTGAAGAGGTAAAGAGATTGGTGTCTGTTGACCTCTGTCAGGCGTAGCTGAAATGTGGTGGGAGATTATATCAACTACACTCAATCTGAGAGGCAATGCGGTCGTCTTTTCTTTTCCCAGCTTTTAAATTAATGTCTGTCAAGCATCTTTTAATATTAATCTGCTCCACGTTACCATAATGTATTCAGGCAGATGCTTGAAACGGATGTAAACAAGGATGTAAACAAGTCCTCCCTCTTCTCTATCAACTATGTTGTTTCCATGGCTCCCATTTCCTACACAGCTTTATGTGGGTAAAGAACGTACCAACTGCGCCCTCTTGTGGTAGCGAAGATTACTGCAGCACAACGTGGTTACCTGCTTCGCTTTGGTTTTAATCTTATTTTTAGAGTTTAGAGATTAATGAAGTGTTGTACAGAGACCTGCGTAGGAAGTGCAGAAATCTAAAACACATCCTACGTTTCTATTTAAACTCAGGTTGGCTTTTTTTTTTTTAGCAGTGCTCAAATATTTTCCAGCATATCGGAAAATTGAAGAAAAAGTGGTGAACAGCATTTCCCTTATTCTCGTGTAACTCTTATGGTTTTTATGGTTTGTTACATAATAATCTTGATTCCTAGGAGTCACAAATCTGTAGGCCTTTCTGTGTCTTTAGTACAAACAACTTTAAGGCTTGCGGAGAACATTTGGCCCACTTAAAGGTTAACTGCAGTCCCAGTTTCTCAGACTGGTCGTTAAATCTCTGTAAAAAAAAATGAATTCATTGAAATTATAGAAAACAATGTACACATTTCAAATAAAGCTCAAAATCGTGAGCTTTGTGGAAGTCGCCGTGTTGTTGCAAACTTGCACTCGAGTTCCCATGAGTCATGACGTGATGCCTTCCTGCTCACTAGTCACTGGAATGACAAACATAATGTGATGGACGAGCGAATAACTACAGGGCATGCAGCAGGCATTTCACTGCAGAAATGTTCCAACATGATCCCCCATGATCGGAGTTAACTAGTAAGTCATATTTGTTGGCCGAACCGTTACCAAAATCGAAACAATATTTCCATTGGATTTAAAGAGTCTACAATGGTTACAATGTCATAGGGCCGCACACATCACCAGACATTTTGTTGCCCCGTTCACAGAACTAGCTGGATAATTTAGTCAATTTTGTGAGGTTTTACAGGTTACAATGCACTTTCATTCTGGTTTGAATGCGCTCCTCAATCTTTCGAATACTTTTGCCGTTCCCCTGTAATCCTAATCCGGCCAATTTAACGCCAGATTTTCTATAGGTCTTAAACTATTGAGGATACCAATTGATTCAAAGACCCCAACCTAAGACAACCTTTGCATTGGTCTTGTTCCAGCCAAATATTGGAAATTTGAAGGGATATCTCAGGGTTTAATAACTGAGTATATTAGGAAGCTTATTCTGTTATTAATAACTAAGTATGTTAATTGTACTGTCAGAAACCACTCAAAACTCTAGTAATATTGTGTAAAGAGTCAAGAGTACATATTGAAGCTAGTATCTCCCAGTTTTCCTTTGCCATCTCTGTTGAAGCAGACAGGCGCTGATGTCATGATGTTCACGCTGCTGATCGCGTGTTTCTCGACAGGTCTCGGAGACGCTAGTCTTGAGGAACGGTGATTTCCTGATCCGGGACTCCCTGACCAGCGTCGGCGATTACGTCCTGACCAGTCGCTGGAACCATGAGGTCCTGCACTTCAAGATCAGCAAGGTGCTGGTCAAATCCAGCGACTCGTACTCCCGGGTCCAGTACCTTTTGGAGCGCGAGAGCTTCGACTCGGTACCGGCCCTGGTGCACTACTATGTGGGCAATCGGCGACCCGTATCCCAGCAGAGTGGAGCCCACATTTACTGTCCCATAAACCGCACTCTGCCCCTCCGGTACCTGGAGGCCAGCTTTGCCTTGGCCAATGGGAAGCATAATCTGAGCCAGTCTCCCACCAATCAGAGAGGAGCACACATCAAGAGGCGGAGTGTCACCATGACGGATGGGCTGACCACCGAGAAAATCATCCCTCACAGGTGAGGCTGGGGAAGTACAGGCAAACTATGTGCTTCATTAACACAGCTGCAATGCACAGTGCTTCAACTGGGCCTATCCTGCGTACAAAAAGCTCTAGTACTATATTTCCTGTAATCCCTTTCCAAATTGCACATCTTAATTAACCCAACAAGCCCCATGCCCTTTTCTCTACAACTCTTAAATTCCCAGAGAATCCTGACACGGCGTCAGTCCAGTGTTACAGATCGTCGTGGAAGGATCAACAGCAGAGAGTCACAGATTCAAGGCAGGAGCCATTTCTTCACGCTTCACATCGCAGTCTTGAGACTACCGCAATGTCTTAAACAGACAAAGTGTCCCTGAAAGGCGTCAGCTCTGTTTTTTCTAGCTAAATATCTGGACTACCAAGAATCGTGCCTCCAGGTTCAGAGCTTGCTCTGGGTGTGTTACAGCACTGGCCAGATGAATTGTAGGACCCTACGTGGTGACTAAAGGATAAGATCAGATCACTTTATTGGCCATATACAATTGCTTGCATTAGGAGTTTGTCTTTTCGCGTACCCCAACTTGCTCTCCATGAGACACACAGACACATAGACAGGGAGAGAAGCTTGGAGTCAGAGCGCAGGGTCAGCCTTTTATAGGATCTTGAGAGTTAGAACAAAAATCCGAGTGTACTTATCCGAATCGCCGTTCAAAGGCCACGGTCAAAGACAGGTCCGTTGGTCAGGAACCCAAAGGTTCGGAAGCCAAGAAATTATCAGAGGAATCTCGAGACAGAGATGAGGAGCTCCACTTGGTGAAAACCAATACTGAGCGTTGAGGTGATGGTGGTGAGGGTTTAAGTATTCTGGGATGTAGTTGGTGCGGGGGATGAAAGACAGGCATGATTGGTTGATGGGTTAATGCGCCGGCGTTTGTTGGAATTGGAGAGGACTGGCGTGTGGTTGGGAACAATGCGGGGGGCGTTGGCGGGACTCTCCCTAGGGTTGTGCTCCGATTGTGGGAGGTCGTGACGGTGTGGTCTTTATTCACATAGGGAGCCCAACCCAGGTGGCAGTGCAGACCTGTGCTTGCGCAGGACACCCGTTTTAGCCCCTGGGACGTGTCTGGGATCCGAGCAGGGGATGAGGTGATTTCAGCAGTGGCTGTCCCCATCCCGTGGGGTTGTAGTGGTGCACACGGCTCGCACACAAAAAACTCCCTGTCAGCAGCCGACACTGAATCTGCTCGGGTCTGCAGCTTCCCGCTTGTCCTCCACGCACACAATAAGCTCCTTTGCCTGCTGCTCTCACTGCACCCCACACTGACGGACACTGCAAAGCTGCCTGATTGCATGGGTTGGTCACGTGCGATGGCACCTCTCCCTCTTCCTGTTCGCCGCTAATCGTGAGAAAGGAGGTAGAAGTCTTCTCGAGCTTTACTGCCGTTCTTTCTGAACAAAGAGTTCAAGTACATGCCTTTGAGCTATGTGATGGACTTATTCCTGTTATTCCTATGATGCATGAAGTTAACGAGTCTTCTCCCCTCACGTTGATCACAAACTTGTCAGCACCTCCTGCGTTTGAATCGTTAGGGAGCAGGTGCCGGCTTGTACCTCATCTCCTTCTATTGCTCACTTTGCAGCCCTTCCACTTTACACCACAAGGAGGCGATCAGGAACTGCGCGCTCAGTATGGACCAGATCCAGGAGTTCAGCTGCCCCATGTCTCCGGTCAGCGAGACCCCCCTCTCGCCAGCGTACAGCTCCAGTGAGTCCTCTCCTGGCCTCTCATTTCTGTGCCATTCTGTAGCCTGAGCCCCACTTGTTCTTACCTCGAACAAGTCATTAACATTAACATCACTTTATTGGCCACATACAATTTCTTGCATTAGGAATTCGTCTTTTCGCAGACCCCAGCTTGCTCTCCATGAGACACACAGACAGGGAGAGAAGCTGGGGGTCAGAGCGCGGGGTCAGACATTTATACGGTGCCCCTGGAGCAGTTGGGGTTAAGGGCCTTGCTCAGGGGCCCAACGGAGTAGGATTCCTCCGCCGGCCGCGGGATTTGAACCGGCAACGCCACAGGCGCAGATCTTGAGCCACAGTGCCACTGCTCCGCCCCTGTAAAGAAAACTCGTGGCGACAGCTGGATTTGAACACCCGACCTCACGCTTAATAAGTCAGTCACTTAAGCCATCACGCCACTGACGCAGTCAGAAAGGACTCTTTGATTTTCATTTTAAAAAATGAGCCCGGCGGTATTTGATTGAACAGAAATGCATTTGAGCAACGTTTCCAGGCAAAAGGCAGCTGCCGACTTGTCAGGCCTGTTCGCATTGGCGGGGCAGTAGCCCTTGGAAATAACGTTAATCTCCTGTTTCTCTCCTCTCGTCTGGCTTGCGCCCACCAGTTAACAGGCACAAGAGTCCGGCTGTGGCCAGGGTGCCAGCCGTGGTGCCCACTTCCCCGGTGATGCGGCGCTGCAGTGAACC